GAGGTGAGCTAAAAAAAGCAAATGTTATATTTACTCATATGAAAGTAACAGAAGTCACTGGGCATGTTTCATATTTCACACCTGACTGCTGGGCACTGGAATTATATGTTAAAACATTTCTTGGATTGATTGATTTGGGTCCAGTCTGCTCAAAATGCCTAGTGATGAAAGATCAGTGTCTCCAGACTGACTGGTGATGAGCAGAGCTGGCTTTGGGAGTGAGCAACTAGTGCAATATCTCAGAGCACAGGGTACTCCCCAGGAGATTGAGTTAGGATCAAATCATCCATTGGGCAGCTAGAAAAGGAAGGACCTACACCTCAAGCCCCTCCAAATGTAGCGTCTGATCTGCTGAGGAGCTCTGGACACAAGATCAAGGGTAAGGAGAGGAGAAACAGCTTTGAACAGCCTAAGGTGATACAACATCAGCTGCCTGTTGACATAATGGCATTGAAGCAGCTGGGCTATCCCTTCCCTTCTTCCCAGCCCTCTCAAAGCAAAGATAGTAACATAGGTCCTGTGGTGGTGGCTGTATGCCATCTAAAGACATCCTTACGCCAGCAGACTCTCCATTGATTTTCCATGTGGTGAAGTATCAATCACTTAACAATCAGCTCTGTAATTCCTAGACACACAGACCACAGACATGGGGCAGGGGCAAAGTTTCCAAGGTTGATACTGAAAGATTTCAATTCCCATTTCCCTTGCTAACAGCTTTGCTCCTCAGCTTAGCGAATCTGTTTTCCAGCTACCTGGACTGCATGCTTTCAGGGAGATCTAGTTAGCATCACTGCCAGTGAAACCACGGGGAAGGATGCTCTGAAATGTCTTTGGCATCTCTCTCTTTTCATCTGTGCCTTGTAAATTGGCTGGTAATGATGATGCTTGATATTAGGGATGTACTTGGTAGCTGTGTTGGTCTGAGACAGGTAGACATAACAAAAAACTAGAACCCTTGGTTCCAAAATGATACCTTTTATTAAACCAACTGGGCAATCTGGGTGAACTCTCACAGACCCAGAGGAACAGCTTTCCATCTCCAGCTCCTTCTGTGCAAAAATGAAGTTTATTTCCTACCTATGGGAACCTTTTATCTTTTACCATCTATACATTTCCCAGAGCCTGATGAAGGGCCTTGGAGCCCGAAAGCTTGCAGAAAAGGACAGTTTTCTTGCAATTTCTGAGCTGGTCTAATAAAAGGTATCACTTTGGAACCAAGAGTTCTAGTTTTTTGTATGATGCTTGTTATTAGACACTTCAGAAAGGTGCACTAATGCCACATAAAACCCAGCTGCGCCATGGTGCCACCTCAAGGATCTCGTCCTAGAGTCGGAGAGAGTCGGGCTGGAAGGGACCTCCAGAGGTCATCTAGCCCAGCTCAGTAACCCCTAAGGGTGGTAGCACATGGCACCCAACACAGGGTTTTCGGCATGCAACATATGGACTCGGCTCCAACAAATGAGAGGTGTGGCTAGGAGGTGCTCCGGGCTTCTTCCTCACAACCCCCCACCCTTGACCATGCTAACGCTCAGTGTGCAGCAAGACCTGGAGACGCCCACCACCCTGCTGGACATGAAGACCAAGACCCAGAGGCCTGGATTTGGCTAAGGACAGGTGCACGCGGGGCCTCACGGGGCTGCACCCTGGGATTATCGGGGCTTGCCTCCCCCCCCAGGGATGATGGAGGGGGGAAGTGAAGGGGCACCTCGGTGGAAGGGATGGTCTGGGTTCTCTTGCCCCTGCCTCAGCCCCGGGGTGGGCAGCTCAGGTGCTCAGATGCTGGCACCTCTTAGGGCCGGGGGCCAGGAGCGCGGCGCCGGGGAGGAGCCGGGCGCTACAGGTGGGGCAGCCGCGGGGCAGCCCAAGCCCCCCGCGCCTTGCGAGCCCGCCCGGCGGCTCCCAGCCCGGAGCCA